AAATATCTGTTAACATTTGTACTCAGACCTGAAATTGTATTTGTATATAGGAGGAGATTTAAAAACAGAATTGCTTCTTTGTGAAATTTCACTAAATCTTGTGACAAGGGAAAGAGCCTGTTAGCACTTGAAAGAGAGTTTTCTCCCATAGGGCAGACACAGAAGAGAGGCAGAGTGTCTGCAGGCTTTCTCAATGAACCTGTTACTACGAACAATAAAAAGTGAGCGAATTAACCACAGAAACAGGCATGTGCTTTGCTGGAGTACTTGAAAAGGCTTGGTTTCTCTAGATTCCGAATTTCCCTTGGTGACTTGAAACAGGGATCTCAAGATGCTGACTTCTGAAACTGGGAAAGAGGAGGGAGTTTCAGGATAGAAAAACACAGCTTACACTCATCATTTCTTTAGAGAATGTGTCTTAATTTGGTTACTGGACATTAACAGTCACAGCTTTGCCGAGGCCATATGGCGATGCCTCTCTGGGAGTTCGGAATCTTTAATGAAGAGGAAGTTGAAGACACTGAGAATCGGCTCTTTTCCTGCCTCATGCACACATGAGCTGTTTTTTGCATATCATTTTAACAGTACTTGAAGTAAAATGTTTAGGCTTTGGGGGTGCACGCCTTTAATCCCAGCACTCGGAGGTAGAGACAGGCGGATCTCTGTGAGTTCGAGGCCAGCCTGGTCTCCAGAGCTAGTGTCAGGATAGGCTCCAAAGCTACACAGAGAAACCCTGTTTCAAAAAACAAACAAACAAACAAATACAAAAAAAAGAAAAAGAAAAAAAAGAAGAAGTAAAATGTTTATTCAAGCGTGCACATGGTATCAGAGCCTTTGGAGTGTTTGGGGATTTGGGTTTGTATTCATGTTTAATTGTGCTGTAAACCTTTTTACTGTGTAGAATTATTTCCTAAGTATACTGGAAAAATTAGTGACAATGTTTAATTGTCACTTTGATTATTTTATTTTTTCTGAGACAGGATCTCAATATGTATCCCTATCTGGCCTAGAACTCACTGTGTGGATCAGGCCGTCCTTGAATTTACAGATATCCACTTGCTCTGGCATGTGTGGAGGTCAGAGGACAGCATGCAGGAATTGGTTTTCCCCTTTTACAATGTGGATCGGGGCAAAAAACAGTTTATCAGGCTTGGTGACAAGTATTTTACTGCTAAGCCAACCTGCCAGTCCTGGGAAGAGAGCTAAAAGTAATTATTTTACATTGGTTTAGTATTTTTGAGACAGTCTTGACTGGTACTTGCATATTGAGTCAAGACTGGCCTCAAGATTATGTTAGTTCTCGTGCCCCAGCTTCTCAAGTGCTTGACTTACAGATGTGGGCCACTCTGCTGGCCTTAGAATTAAAAGTCTATTGTATGTTTGCAGGGTGTATGTGGGTAGGCATGTACTGTGGCATGTGTGGAAGTTTTGTGGGGTTGTGCTTTCTTCCACCTTTATGTGGTTCCGGGAGTCAATACCAGTGGTTAGGTCTGTGCAGCAAGAGCCTTTCCCAACTGAGACATCTTGCCTTCCTGAGAAGTTATTTTAGTTTTTGATTCAGTCCTTGAAGTATTGATTCTGAAAGTGATTGTATCTAGGTAGCAGGTTTTTTTTTTTAATTAATTTAGCCTTTTTGGTATTTTTTTTTAATGTTTGTGTATTGATTGGTGTTTTGCCTGCATGTATGTCTGTGTGATGGTGTCAGATCCCCTGAAACTGTAGTTACACAGTTGTGAGCTACCATATGGGTTCTGGGAATTGAACCTGGGTCCTCTGGAAGAGTAGCCAGTGTCTTAACCACTGGGCCATCTCTCCAGGTTCTGTTTTTAGGACAGTGCTTTCATTGGTCAACCTACTCAATAAAAGACTATGGAAGTTAAGCTTTTGATCAAAGAAATAATGGAATATTGTCCTGTGGCAAAACAAAAACAAAAACAAAACAAAAAAACGCTCAACTTTTATTGTACTTCAAGCTTAAGATGACTTTTCTCATTGCAGGTCATTCTAAAGGGAGTTACATGTTCTTGTGAACAGCTGAGAACTCTGAACCCTAACCTGACTGTTCTTGTTGACAGGGCAATAGGTGTTATTCCTTTAGTATTACTCAGTTTCCAGTCTAGAGCATCAAGTTTATGCCAAAGTGTTTAAAAACAATGCAGCTTTAAGAGAGGGAGTAGGAGCTTGGGAGGCTGAGGTGGGGTGTGCAGGCTCCTCCTCCACTCCTGTACGCTGCAGGGGCTTGCTGCAGAGAAGTGCCTGAGCACACAGACCTGCAGAATTTATCTGCATAGAATTTAACTTGAAAAAGACTTTTCTTTACAATTGCTAAAGATATTTTTAATGCCATTTTCATTTTCAAGTTCAGTCATTATAGCTGAGACAAGTTTAATAACATGCTGCCACACTCCGATTTCTTTCAGGTTTTTCAAGAGCATGAAGATAGTAAGATAGTAAGAGGCGTGATGGGCAGCATTGCTATTTAATTTTGTTATATGACACAAAGTCAGAAATGCTCTTTATTACTTACTTTTTCTTTTTGCTCTTATTTCTCATATAGACCCTGTGAGACAAAAGTTAAATTGCATTTAAGATAAACAGTTGGGGAAAAAAGCTGTTACAGCTTCTTGTCTGAAAAGCTGGAAGAAAGGAAACATTTTGATAAATTCTGAGACATTCAAACACTAGTGCAATGGAAGAGTCTCAGGAAGTAAAATTCAGCAAATTTGTACAAGCTCAGAGATCAATGATAGGTACCCAAGAGGCAGCACTTCAGCCTCATAAAATATTTTGTGATTTACCATTTTTAGAAATTTATTTATTTGGCTGGGTAATGGTGGCATACATCTTTAATCTCAGCTGGTCTCACAGAGATCCTCCTGCCTCTGCTTCCCAAGTGCTGGGATTAAAGGTGTTTAATCCCAAATTCTGGGATTAAACACCCGAAGCATTTTTAAACTTTTTATTAATGTTTCTATTTTGACTTACAGCCTCAGGCTTATTATGTAGCAGAGGATGACCTTGAATTCTGATACTCTTGCTTCCAGGTGTGTGTAGAGTAGGGTTTGAACCCAGGGACCTGTGCGTGCTAGGCAAACATTGTACCAACTGAACTCCATCCTCAGATCACTTTTTCAGCTTTTAATAGTCCTTTTTTAAAAAATTAGATTGCATTAAAAAATATTGTGTTTGTTTGCTTGCTTGCACTTGTGTGCACATGCACCTTTAGCATGTCACATGTTCACTATGGCTTATGTATAGAGGTCAGAGGGCACTCTGTAGCAATTGGTTCTTTCCTTCCATCTGTGAGTCTCTGGATCAAACTCATGTGGTGAGGCTTGGTAGTAAGCATACCGGCAGGGCCCTTAGTTAGTTCTTTTGTTTGTTTTTGTTTCCCTTACTGTGTAGCTCTGGCTGCCTAGAGCTTGCTATGTAGACGAGGCTGTCCTTGCCTCTATCTGTTTTTGGGATTAAAAGGATACACCTCCACACCTCCACCACAGTCAGTTACACTCAGATATCAGGCATTACACTTGCCTATTAGAGAGTATTTTGCCTTCATGTATCTGTGTATCAGGTACATGCCTAGTGCTTGAGGTCAGAAGAGGGTGTTAGATTTCCTTGGACCTGGAGCTACAGATGGTTATTAGCCATCTTGTGGGTGCCGGGAAGGGAATCCAGGTTCTCTGCAAGAGCAACTGATGCTCTTAATTGCTGAGCCATCTTTCCAGCCCCTGAGGTCTCAGTCTCTCTCTCCCTCCCTCTCTCCTCTCTCTCTCTCTCCCTGCCCCCTCCACCCCCTCTGGACTCAATCTGTAGACCAGCTTGGCCTTGAACTCACAGAGATCCACTGCTTCCCCTCTCAGTTTTCGGGGTTAGAGGTTGCACCATCACTACCTGGTTTTAAAGGCTAATTTTTAATTGCATAAACACATCCAATATTAAGATTTCACCCTCCTTCCTTTCTTCTTTCTTTGTGTCCTTCTGCCTCTCCCAACCTCTCTGCCTTTAACCTCAAACTCACTATGTAGGTGAGGTTAACCTTGAACTCCTCACCCTCCTGCTTCCCATCTCCTTAGTGTCAGGATTAGAGGGAGCTGCTCCCCGTTATGTGCAGTGCTGAACACTGAACTTCATGTGTGCTGGCCGAGCACTATCAATTAAGCTACACCCCAGACTGGAATTTGCAGTTTCTCTTAAACAGTTTAATGACACAGGGTCTGGACCACTAAGAAATCTGAGGTTTAGAAGCTCTCATTTAATTTGATATATTAAACAATTTTTGGAAAAAGAACTTAATTTAAAGAATATTATTGTGTGTAGAGAGTATATTTGCGCTCATGTGGTGCAGCACACATGAGGTCATAGAGAAACTTCTTGGATTTTCTCCTTCTGCTAAGGGGTCAGAAAAGTGATTGATTTCAGGTCATAGGAATTACATAGCAAGCACTTTTATCCAACATGGTCCTTATTTCCTTAGCTGGAACTAATTGGTTTCAGTTATCTTGCTTCAGCCTCTTGCTTAACTGGGTCTATAGGTGTGCAGCGCCATTCCCTACTAGAACCTTTTTAAAACATCAACTGCTTGTTTTCTCTCTGTTAACTATTTCACCTATATGTGAGTGATATTTTGAGGCCTGTATATAGTGATCAGGATAACTGGCATATCACCTGAAACATTTGTCTTTTCTTGGTGTGGGTGTATTCGAGATCCTCTCTACTCAGTGTCTTGAACTACACAATTCAGGGCCGATGTAGTTCTGTGGGCCACAGGACCTGGAGAGAGAGCTTTAGAAGATGCCTCCCTAGGCTTGGATGCTGGAACTTGTAGTAGGGTTCATCTGTTCTTTGCCATGCTCCTTCTTGTCCTTGTATGCATGTCTTAGAAAGAGCCGACTGCTTGTTTCTTCTGTTTGGAGTTATTCTTAGGATGCCTTACTTTTGTAAGCAAGAAAACTGGGTCTGAGTGCCCTGTGGCTAATGCTGTGTTTCTCCCTTGGCAGTACTCGGGGAAGGACTGGCCAAGGGAGAGGGTGCCTTCCGGGCAGTGCTGTGCTGTATGCAGCTGCAAGGGAAGCTCCAGCTGGTGTCCTCCATCCTTGCCAAGTCACTGTCAGGAGAGTCTCTGGTAAGTTGATGAGTGCAGGTTTGAATGCTTGCCAATGTTGGGTTGTATGGGATAGTATACGGGATAGTATGAGGAAAATGGTGTATGTTTGGTGTGTAGTGTAGTTTTGTCAGATGTCAAAGTTCATGACAGAACCAAGATGCTCAGTTTTTTAAAATGAACTGATACTCAGTCATTGGACCTTTGCCATTTGTGATTTGTCTATATAAAAACCACAGGTACTTTTACTGAGTTCTAAAGTATAAGATAACCAAAGACATTCTTTTTAAAAATTTTTAAAAAATCAGCTGGGCAGTGGTGGCACATGACTTAATCCCAGCACTCCGGATGCAGAGGTAGGCAGATCTCTTGAGTTCAAGACCAGCTTGGTCTACATAGTGAATTCCAGGACAACCAAAGCTACACAACGACACCCTGTCTTGAATCACCCACCATCCCCCTAACACCCTCCCCCCATGTGGTGGTGCATGTCTGTAATCCTAGTGCTCCACAGGCAAAGGCAGGCAGATGTCTGCGTTCCAGGCCAGCCAGGGCCATGTGTTTTTTTTAAAGGTTAATGTATATACTAATAGGTTTCATCATACCAAATGGGTATAAGTTAATATCTTTATTTACTTTATAGAAACTATCTAATTATATTTACACTTGAATTTACATCTTTTTAAAGTTATAATTTTTATTGATTCTTTGTGGATTTCAAAGATAAGTTTTTAAAGATTTATTTATTTTATATATATGAGTGCTCTGTCTGCATGTATGACTTTATGCCGGAAGAGGTCATCAGATTACACTAGAGATGGTTGTGAGCCACCATGTGGTTACTAGAAATTGAACTCAGGACTTCTGGAAGAACAGCTGGTGTTCTTAACTGCTTAGCCACCTCGCCAGCCCCAAGATAAGTTTTTAAATATGTAAATTTTCTAGTTTATTTCTTATAATCAAAGGGCTACTTTTTGTAATTTCATAGAGTTGATAACTTATAAGAATTTGAAAGAAAGAACTTGGTATTTTTCAGGCATCAAAATAAAAGCCGGGAAGAAAGTCTGTAATTGCCAGGAAGTGTAAATTCTTTGTCAATTGTGCTTCAGGTTGGTAGGGATTTTGAAAATCAAGAGCACAGATGTGAAAATACAGAAATTAGAAAAGTATTTAGTCTGTTATAAGGTGTAATATTATGGCTCCACCACAGGGTAATTTAGTTAACCTGTAAGGAGTTACTGTGCAGTGAATTACTTCCTTAGTTTGGCCATGTCTCTGAATTCACAAGGATTACAGATGTGAGTACATGAAGTGATACAGTAATTTAGCTCTAAGTAGCTGTCAAAATGTACTTACCCGAGTCTCTCTTCTTCTGAGATAGGGCCTGGACCTTGAGACAGACTTCTGCCTTATGCTTCCGAGTGCCAGGATTACAGTTGCTAGTCACCATTCCTAGGAAGAGAAAACTGCTTTTGATACAAGGTCTCTCTGTATATGTATCCCAGGCTGGCCTCAGGCTTGGAGTCCTCACTGATCTTTCCTGTGTAGCAGTTACAGGTGTGCCCAGCCTCAAAAGCTTTTTTTTTTTCCTATAATTATTTTACAGTTAGATCTGTTGGGGTTTTTAATTTTTAACAATTTGTTTTTAATTTTCAAGTTTTCTGAAATTTGAATTTAAAAAATTAACAAATGGTTTCTCTGGTGGTGGATAACCACTGAGCTCATATATATACAGAAAAGCCCAAGAGAGAGGGGAGAAATAGTTTTAGGTTTGCATTTCTCAGTTTTTGTTTTACACTGATAGCTTGGCAAGCATTTTATAGAATTAAAAAAAAAAAGTTTTTGAGGCAGGGTTTCATGGAACTTCGGCTGGCCTGGTGTGTGTGCTTATCAGGAGCAGCAACGGGGCCTTTCTTCCCAGTAGTCCTCTTCCTGTCCACAGCTTCACGCAGCCCCTTACAGAGTAGCAGTGTGAGGAAGGGAAGGGGAGAGCTGAGTTGTGAGACTAAAGAACTACCCACTGATGGTTTTCTGTCTTCGTTTCACCCTTGCAGAATGGGATGGTAACGAAAGATTTGACAAGACTGAAGACTCTTCTCACAGAGACAGAGGTGAGTCCATTGTGGGAATCTCTTTAGGTCCATTGTGGGAATCTCTTTAGGTGCATCAAACCCAGTGAGTCCGGTGAGCATTCTTCTGTTAGTCAAGATGTGAGGTGACAAGGGGATCTTCTGTGCAACTGGGTTGGGTTGCACAGAAACCCCCTCAGAACACGTCTTCTGTTCTGCATCCCAGATCTTCTTTTCTAACTATAATCATTATTTTTGAAATTTTTTTTGGCATATGCATACATGTGTGGCTTGTGTATGTGTATTGACTCCTGTGTGGACATACATGGATGTGTGGGTGTGAGTGCACACTTGTGTGCATATACACGTGGAGGCCTGAGGTTGATTAAGATGTCTTCCTCAATTAGTGTCTACTTATTGAGGCAGGGTCTCTCACTGAACCTGGAGCCAGCTGTCCTTGGGATCTCTTGTCTCTGCCTCGTGAGTACTGAGATTGTAGGGATCACCATGTCTCCTGGCTGTCACATGGGTTCTGGGGATCTGAACTCTGGTCTTCATAGTTGCATAGCAAGCTCTCCATGCACTGAGTCATCTTTCTGGCTCTCATCCCGGTGTTCTCTGTCCCCCATATGGAAGGTACTTGGGTAATTTTTTTTTTTTTTTTTAACTTCATGTGCTTTGGTGTCTTTCAATTGCTGAGCCATCTCCCCAGCCCCTGGGAAATTTTATTTATTTATTTATTTATTTATTTATTTATTTATTTATTTGGTTCTTGCCTTCTGAGGTACTTCTCCAGCCATTTTTTTTTTTTTTTTTGGGTTTTTTGAGACAGGGTTTCTCTGTGGCTTTGGAGGCTGTCCTGGAACTAGCTCTTGTAGACCAGGCTGATCTTGAACTCACAGAGATCCACTTGCCTCTGCCTCCCGAGTGCTAGGATTAAAGGCGTGCACCACCACCAACTCCTGGCTGGAAATTTTAATTTTTAATTATTTCTTTCAATCAAAAAATACAACATTAGGGGCTAGAGAGATGACTCAATGGTTAAGAGCACTGATTGCTCTTCCAGAGGACCTGGGTTCAATTCCCATCACCCACATGGTGGCTCACAGCTGCCTGTAACTTCAAGATCTGACACCTGCACACAGACATACATGTAGGTAAAACACCAATACACATAAAAATAGATAAATTATTTATAAAAAAACCCACAACACATTGAATAACTCAAACAAGATAACCCTCAAATCATCTGTATCTGACTTAGAAGATGTTGTTAAATGAGGGAATTAGTTTGAGAATGCTAAGCATCCAGGCAAAGAGCTCCACACATGCTCTGGCAGGACTCGTGCAAGGCAGGGGCAGCAGTGGCGTGTAAAGATGCATAGCTCATGCATCAGTTAGTATGTTTTCTTTCTCTTACACCCCTTTCTTTGAAAATTGCAGACAGCAAGTAATGTCCTCCCTGGATGTCATGTGGAAGACTTAGATGAAGGTAAGTACTAAAATTGTCATAATGTCTGGTAAGTCTTATTATGGCCCTTGTCTTTAATCCCAGTGCTCGGGAGGCAGAGGCAGGCAGATCTCTGTGAGTTCAAGACCAGCCTGGTCTATAGAGTGAGTTCCAGGACAGCCAGGACTGTCAGAAAAACAAACAGAGAAACCCTGTCTTGAAAAACAAAACAAAGCAACAACTCCTCCCCCAAAAAACAAAAACAAAACAACAACAACAACAACAACAACAAAAAACCCCAAATCTCTGTCTGGAACATTTTCATAGGTTAGCTGAGTGATGATAACTCCACAGATAACTCTGTAGCTGAGGCTGGTCTTGATCTCCTGATGCTGCTGCCTCCACTTGGGAGCACTTGGATGGTGTTTGGATTGCAGGTGTGCACCAGTGTTCCTATTCTCCTAGCTTGCCCTGAAGGCTAGCCTGCTCCATGCTAAAGTGACTTTCATAAAACACATACTAACTTCTCTGGGGTTGTCTTCATCTTTGTAGTTAAAATGTTAAACAGTGTTAAAATGAATATTTATTATTATGGTTTAATAGGTTCCTAAAGTCACCCAGCTAATAATGGATGAAACACAACTTTTTGGCTTAGCCTGGCAGAAAACCTTTCTTGTTCTCTGAGGGGAGGTTGGGGGAGAGAACTTGTGAGACTAGAAAATAGCTGCTTAGCCTTTCTCTCCTAGGTCTTATTTTCCTTTGCTTATTTGGAACTTCATCTAAATCAAAGTCATTTGTATTTAGAAATGTATGCACTTAGCTCCTATATCTGCTTAACTGTTTGAGCTTCACTTTTTTTTTTGTTTTTAAAGATTTTATTTATTTATTATGTATACAACATTCTGCTTCCATGTATATCTGCACACCAGAAGAGGGCAGCAGATCTCATTATGGATGGTTGAGCCACCATGTGGTTGCTGGGAACCGAACTCAGGACCTCTGGAAGAGCAGTCGGTGCTCTTAACCTCTGAGCCATCTCTCCAGCCTGAGCTTCACTTTTATACAATGTTCGTAGTGATATGCTTCTCACTCAGTGTGCAGTGGTAGGTTTGTTCACAGGACCTTCCCGGACAGTCAGTTTTCATTCCTGAAGGAGTTTCCCATAGAAATGCATCCCATGCTTGGGAATGACAAGCATCTCAGCTGCTCCCCTGAGTTCTCAGAGAAGAGATTGCCCTGGGAGGAAGCCCACTCCCTGTCAGATGAGAGTCAGTGCCACCTGCCTGATTTAGCTGCTGGGTAGTGGCCTCTACAGCATGCTGATTCACAGAACTCATTAACTGGCTCAGTTAATTGGTAGGGGTACCTTTGTCATGCCTGTTTTAGATCACATGGGATGATGCATGTGGAGGGATGTGATTCTTAGATGTTAAAATATTGGAATGATGAGGTAACCTCACATGACACGATTATATCCTCATTATTTCCCAGGGTCTTGTAATGGTTGGCATTTCCGCCCGCCACCCAGGGGAATCACAAGCAGCGAGGAATATACTTTGTGTAAAAGGTAATGTAAAAAATATTTTTAAAATAAATTACATGTCTTTTTTGAAAGAAGAGCTAATTTTCCTTCACTCTTTGAAGGCAGTAATTTAAATTCAGAGAAGATAATATGTGAAGAAAGAGAAAGTATAATGATCAAGGGAAATGGTTTGTTTCCCATATCAAACAAACTGCATAGGTCAGCGCCAAATCCATGAGACTTTAATCTGAAACAACAGGCATGTGAATGCAGCCTGCTTAGACTTTGTTCAGAAGGCTTTCATGCTGGCTGAACTTAATTGTGGGCTGCTTTTAGTGTGGAATTTACTGAGATGTGGTAATTGGAGTTGAAATTAGTTCCTGTAAACTGAAAGAGAGCACAATATCAATCATATTCAATTATTTTAGTGATTTTTCTGAAAAAATATTGTCATGGAATTCTTATGCAATTTGAGTACTTTTTTTTAAAGGACTTTCAGAATTAATGATGTAACTCATTTTTTTTAATTGGGTTTCTTTTTTTTTTAATATTTTATTTATTTATTATGTATACAACATTCTGCTTCCATGTGTATCTGCACACCAGAAGAGGGCACCAGATCTCATAACAGATGGTTGTGAGCCACCATGTGGTTGCTGAGAATTGAACTCAGGACCTCTGGAAGAGCAGTCAGTGGTCTTAATCTCTGAGCCATCACTCCAGCCCTTTACTCATTATTAATAATTATTTCTAAAGATGTAGAAAGTTAACTTAAGTCCCATTTTAAAAGGCAAGCTCTTCAGTTCCTCTCACTAGAGTGAGTGGCTGGTGGGGCTTGGCATAGACCTTGTTGCCCTCAGCTGGGCAGGGAAAGGAGTGTGATGTGTGCTGTGTTGAACCACAGTCAAGATGATGGGGAATTTGTAGTGGAATTGAGGGACTGAGCTAGTGAACACTGCAAGTCCTTGTGGGGCCAAAGTACTGGACAGAAAAAGAGACCCAAGAATTAGAGTCTAGAGAGGACTAGAAGCCCCTTTTTCTTTTTTGAGGGAAAGAATTTTTTAAATTTATTTTTATGTGTATGAGTGTTTTACCAGCATGTATGTCTGTGCATCATGTTTGTGCCTGTTTCCTACAGAGGCCTGAAGAAGTTGTTGGATTCTTCCTTTGGACAGGAGTTACAGACAGTTGTGAGCTGCCATGTGGGCGGGGGCTGGGAATTGAGACTGGGTCTCATGGAAAAGTGGCCAGTGCTCTTAACTAATAAGTAGTGAAATAGCTAGGAAAACATAGACAGGTTTTTGGAGCATGAAAACATACTGTATATATAAAAAGGTAAACACACGTTTTCTGAAGGAAATGAGGATTTAACAAGCAGCTGCATCCTAGGTTCATGCTCACTTCCGATGATTTATAGGCACCGGAGAGATGAGCTGTGCGGGTTTATCTGTGCCAAGTTCATTATCTGTTTTCTCTAGAATGGGTTTTCCAGTTGTCCACATGTAATATCTCTCTTGTGTTTGTTTTGTTAAATGTACTTTAATTTTTTTCCTCAGAGGATCTCTCATCAACTTTAGAATATTTTTACTAACCTAAGATCAGACTTTACATAGTTTTTCAGGGTATTTTAAAGTATTTTTTCCAAAATTAATGATCAAAACAATTTGGTTTTCTTATTTTGACCATAAAATTATCAGTTAAGTTTTCTTTTATAAAAAACAATGATTTAGCCTGGCGTTGGTGGCACTCCCCTTTAATCCCTGTGAATTCGAAGCCAGCCTGGTCTACAGAGTGGGTTCTAGGATAGTCTCCAAAACAATACAGAGAAAACCTATCTTGAAAAAACCAAAGAACAAACAAACAAAAAAAACCCAATGATTGTTTTGCTTGATACCTAATTTTTTTGTGTATTTGTATATAGTGTATATGTAATATTTGATATGTATGTGTATTGAATAGGTACCAAAACAGCTTCACCTTGAACATTTACCATTTCATTGTGCTAAGAACACTCCAAATCCAGCTAATTGAAATGTACTCTATATTGTTGTTGTTTGTAGTCACCCGAGTGTTTGAATTTGGGGATTTAATCTAGGCCTTCACTCATGCAAAAGTGGTATACCATTGAGCTACAGCCCCAGCTGGTAAGCTGAGTGTTCAGAGTCACAGACCTGAGGTGTCATTATCAGTGTCTTTTGAAGTCAACATTTCTGTATTTAACTCTTGAAGAACTGAGTAACTGTTCCATGAATTTGTGACTCTGAATTATAAAATCCTAAATTTACTTGAAACTTAACATTAGCCTGTAGTTTCAGTGAAGTAATACAGAAAAAAGAGAACAAGTATCCCATTTGAAGGTAAAGGTAGAGGTATGCAGTGAGGTTCCCAGGGTGCAGAGTGTGTCGAGTTCATGCCATCTGGGGAATGAGATCATGGCTGTGTGAACAGCTCGTCCACTGGATGTCAGTATTGCTTCAAGAACTATCTAAGGGAGCATGTCTTCAATGGCTTATTTTGGGCAGAGGGGTCACAATATACTACTGTGCTTTAAGGTCACTGTGTTCCTAAGCACAAAGTCACAGGATATTGGAGTGGGGGTTGAAGCTCTGACTATCATGGATGCTTGTCTGCCATCCCTTTCTGCCTTCATTGGACTTGACAGTGATAACTCTGGCCTCTCAGAAGATCTTTGTCTTGGTACTGAGGAGGCAGAGGGCAAATGGTGGAAATTATCCTTAAATGGTTGAACACTTTTAATCCTGGCACTTGGGAGGCAGAGGCAGGTGTATCTCTGTGAGTTTGAGGCCAACCTGGTCTGCAGCGTGAGTTCCAGGATAGCCAGGGCTGCACAGAGAGAACCTGTCTCGAAAGAGCCTTGTCCTACCCTATCCCCACCCCCACGCCCACCCCCAAAATGTTGAACATATATAAAACAGTCTTTCCCATTCCTCTTAGGTTTTTAGAGCAAGGAATCTGTAGGTATGGTGCCCAGTGTACTTCAGCACATTCCCAGGAAGAATTAGCAGAGTGGCAGAAAAGATACGCCTCACGGTTAATAAAGTTGAAGCAGCAAAATGAGAATAAACAGCTCTCAGGCAGCTACATGGAAACCTTGATAGAAAAGTGGATGAGCTCACTGTCTCCTGAGAAAGTGGTAAGAACTACCTACCTTCTGTTGCTCTTGCTCTAAACAGTGCACTGGTTTCATCATTGCTTTCTCACGTACTCAGTTGTAGCTTATTTCTTTAGTCTACTAAGAGCATGTTTGTTTTTCGAGACAGGGTTTCTTTGCTTAGCCCTGGCTGTCCTGGAAATTGATTTGTAGACCAGGCTGTCCTCACAGAGATCTGCCTGCCTCTGCCTCTCCAGTTCTGAGATTAAAGGCATGCTCCACCACTGCCTGGCTGAAAATGTTTTTGATAAAGTGGTGTTTTTAGTAACAAGCCGGGTTATTTGTTAACATGAAGGGCAGAAATGGTATGCAGCTCCTACAGTAATGACCTTCTTTTAGGGAGGTTTTGATTCTAAGTTTTTGGTTGTTAATTTTCTTCTATCTGCGTCACATGTCAGTCTTGTAAGCATGCTGGAAAGAAGTGTGTGGGATCCCTTGGTCAGCAAGTGCTCCATCTTTGCTCATGGCTCACAGCTGTGTTTTTTTTTCACCCTCAGACTGTAACAGGAATCTGTCTTTGCTTTCAGCTTAGCGAATGCATAGAGGGAGTTCAGGTGGAGCACAACCCTGACTTGTCGGTCACCGTCAACACCAAAAAATCCCACCAAACATGGACCTTTGCTCTGACCTGTAAGGTATGAAGCCTGTGCTGATTAAAGATCAGTTTCTTGAAGCTTATTCGACTTTAAATGTCTGTTAAGAGAGCGTGACTCGGAGTACATTTCATGTAGGCTCTGTCCTGTGCCAAAGTGGGTTTCTGTATTTCAGTCATTTAAATGCCCTTTTTTTTTTTTTTTTTCCACTTTGAAGCAGGATCCATTTAGCTATGTAGGACACCTTATTTACTTGGTAAAGAAGTCTGGCATACATTACCTTCTAAACTTGGAACATAGGATGGGGTTCATGGCTTATCAATGGATTATTTAATCTGGCAGTTCTAGGATTTTTTTGCAATGAAAACCCATTTTTGTATTTTATTTGATGAAGTCATAGATTTTATAAAAATGTGTTTTTCTATTTTATTTTTTGTGTTTCATGGGCCTGGCCCATGCCAGGCATGTATTCTACCACTGAGCTCTATCTCCAACCCTAGAGAGGGGTTTTCAATATGAGACATTTTCTGCAGTGCTTCTCATCTTAAATTATGGTGGTCACAGTTTAAGATTGGAATATAGTTAACCATGGCGGTGAATATGTTCGGTGGAGAAGTTTTGTGCTGTTTTTAGTGGTATTTCTTCTCGGCACCATCTGCATCTTGAGATGGAATGTTTAGCTTCAGCCCTGAACCCAATCCCGTGCTCTCAGAGGTAACTGTCCTCCTTCAAAGCTTCCTGCGTGAGGCTCTGCAAGCATAGTTAGAGGCTGACCCAAGGTGGGGACATGAACGTGTGCAGAAGGCCCAGGGCGGCTGAGGATGCAGCATACGTACATCATTTTAGAAACTTTGCTTTAACCATTCTGTTTTGTCTTTGTTTTTCTTTTTCTTCTTAAATAGCTTGTGAGCACAGTTTGTTGGACAAAATAGTACCTTAGAAACATGGGGAGTAGCAGACCCTTCTGGGAATATTTTCATTGAAGAGCCCAGTTACAATTGAATTTCCACCCCCTTGTACTCAATGAATTATTTTAACTTCCTTGTAGCCTGCAAGAATGCTGTATCGGGTAGCATTGCTTTATGATGCTCATCGTCCTCATTTTAGTATCATTGCCATATCTGCCGGAGATAGTACTACCCAGGTATCACAAGAAGTCCCCGAAAACTGTCAAGAATGGATAGGAGGAAAGATGGCCCAAAATGGATTAGATCATTACGTGTATAAAGTCGGGATAGCATTTAACACAGAAATATTTGGAACTTTTCGCCAAACCATAGTTTTCGACTTTGGATTGGAGCCAGTACTCATGCAAAGAGTAATGATTGATGCAGCTTCTACAGAAGGTAATATTTAGACTTTTTTCCCCCGATACAATGTATTAAAAGGCAAGATTAAAAGATATGTCTTGACCCCTAAATATTCCTCAGATAGGGAGGAAATAAAAAGGAAAAATTCCCATGTTAATTGACTTATTCACTGTGTAATGACCATAAAATGGGTCAGGTTGTGCCGTGATCTCTTCATGCAGTCATTGGGCAAGTCTTGCTTTGAAGTCCCCTAAACTTACCTAACATGAATAGGTAATCAAGTCTGTTTGGTCTAGCAATTTCATGTTAAAGTAAGATGGTTTTAGCACAGCCAGACCTTTTAGTATTTGTTTGACTAGAATGTCTTTCTAAGGGTAATGACGTATATACCTCCAGTGTCTTTCCATTTCCTGCTGATGGTTCAGTTAGCTTTGCTGATGTTACTACTTTATCTCTGAAGGAAAAGCCCTCAATATCAGTTTAAGTCATCGTGAGCCTTCACTCTACTGTTAAGGAGGGCAGAGGGTCTCAGCAGGATCTGCTCAGTACTTTGGGAAGGGAAGAGAAGGGGCCCTGGTTTTAGCACAAAAGCCCCTGCATGCTTGCTGTTACAGCTGATTTGCTTTGTATATTATTGATGGTGCCTCTACCAAAATTTGATGTCTAAATCCAATAGGACATGGAAAGGACATGCTAGCTCACACTTCTGTGGCTCTTGGTTGGAGTATAGGTGCTTTAATTTATTAAACAAATGATTAAGAATTTCTTTAATGAGGCTATGTAGTAGGCTATATGAAACTTGGTACTGTGTTGACTGGAACTAACCATAATGTAGAGGATGCTTACTCCAAGTACCAGTGTCCTACTAATCAGAACCTAATCGGGACAGTTTTCTTTTCATGAGCAGACATTAGGATGTGTTCTTTCTCTTTTTTCCCCTGCAAGTTGAGATATTTATATCTGTATATCTATCTATCTATCTATCTATCTATCTATCTATCTATCTAATTTTCTGGGACTGTCTCACTAAGTAGACCACACTGGCCCTGAATTCACAAGTCTCCTGCTTCAGCCTCCCCAGCTCTGGAAAAATGAGTGTGTATGACCATGACTGGCCCTCACTGCAATGTCTTCTTTGTGTGTGCAAATGTAACCCAGGCTTCATTTTATCCCATTCTCTGCTTTGTTTGATCTCATTTACATTTTATTGGGTTGTATGTAATTTTGTTACTCAGTAGGAACAAAAATATGTTAATTTCCATAGCCAAAAAATAGATATGCCAGTAGATAAAATACAAATCAAAGCACACATCATTTTATGAAGGACTAGATGGTAAGTGTTGCAGGTGTGTGAGGGATGGGCCTGACTGCACTCACAGAAATTCAGTGATGAAGTGAAGCTGGAATTTGAATGGGTAATGTCTTCATCTCTACTGTTTGCTTCTTCCACTAGATTGGCTGTTTGTGTCTTCATTGGCTTTATATTGCTGTGATAACACAACAGAAAGCAACTTGGGGAGGGAAGGGTTTATCTCATAGTGCAGCTTGTAGTCCATCATCCGGGGAAATCAGGGCAGACAATCAAGGTAGGGACCTGATAGCAGGAACTGATGTGGTGGCCTTGAAGGAACAGTGTTTTCCTGGCTTCTTCTCAGCACTGTTAAAATTCTCACCAAACAGCCCACTCAGCTCTGAGCACTCTTGTCTGGGCCATAGTTCCAAAGTCTTTCTACAGTCTTCCCAAAAACATGGTCAAGTGTATCACAGCAATATCCCACCCCTGGTACAGTTTCTGCCTCAGCTTGCTCTTGCTGTGTTAAACACCATGACCACAAGCAGTTTATGGGAGGAAAGGGTTCCTGACTGAAGGCGGTCATGGCAGGACCTTGGAGACAGGAGCTGATGCAAAGGCAACGGAGGAGTGCTTGCTCAGTCTGCTTTCTCTTCTCTTCTCTTCTCTTCTCTTCTCTTCTCTTCTCTTCTCTTCTCTTCTCTTCTCTTCTCTTCTCTTCTCTTCTCTTCTCTTCTCTTCTCTTCTCTTCTCTTCTCTTCTCTTCTCTTCTCTTCTCTTCTCTTCTCTTCTCTTCTCTTCTCTTCTCTTCTCTTCAAGATTTATTTATTTATTACATATACAGTGTTCTGTCTGCATGTATGCCTGCTGGCCAGAAGAGGGCACCAGATCTCATTATAGATGGTTGTGAGCTACCCTGTGGTTGCTGGGAATTGAACTCAGGACTCCTGGAAGAGCAGTCAGTGCTCTTAATCTCTGAGCCATCTCTCCAGCCCTCAGTCTGCTTTCTTATAGAAAGGGGCTGCAGTATTAATGCAGCGGTGGGACCTCGCACAATGAGCTGGACCCTCCCACAGCAATCTCTAATCACAGACTTACCTGCAGGTCACACCATGGAGGCAGTTTCTTTCTCACTGAGAATCCTTCTCCCCAAATGACTCTAGCTTGCATCATGTTGGCATAAAACTAGCCAGCACAACTGGTAAGCAAGATTTGTCCTTAAATAACACTGGAAGATAGTTTTCTTCCACAAAGTTACACATTTGGCTCCACTGGGCCATTACTAGCAGCTCCTATGGTAAGGAATGCTGCCCAGTCTCCCTCAGTCCTATTGTGCCTCAGCCACCAAAGACTGTCTGTGCCCTTCAGACTGACTGATGATGGTATTTTTTATTTATATTTTATGTATGAGTGTTCGGCACGTATACCTGCACGTCAGAAGAGGGCATCAGATCCTATTCTAGATGGTTGTGAGCCACCATGTGGTTGCTGGGAATTGAACTCAGGATCTCTGGAAGAGCAGTCAGTGCTCCTAACCCCTGACCATCTCTCTCTCTGGAGCAGTCAGTGCTCCTAACCCCTGACCATCTCTCTCTCTCTCTCTCTTTTTCCCACACTACTGTTAGTATCTGCAGTGTCCACTTATGGGCCACGAGGGAGTGCCTTCCTTCTAGTAGTTATATAGTAACCCCAAACTGTTGAAGAAGTGTGTGATTTCAGGTGTGCCTTTTCTTTATGCTTTTCTTTTCCGCTTGTTTTCCTGGTTATTGAGGTTTAGAAAAATATGCTATTTATTAAAATTGTCTTTGGGTAAACTTGGAGATAGGACTCAAAATGTGTGGTAAAAGGCACCTGCAGGGAAAGTTAGTGAGCTTTCCTTCCCATTGTATGTATACACAGCTTCCTCTGATAGGAGAGTTTGGAGATGCTGATTTGGAATTGTGTTTTGGACATCTGGAAATAGCATACTTAAAGTTTATTCTTAGGTTTGAATCTGGAAACATCAAATTCATTTCTGTGTTGTGAATCTAGCAAGACATGATAACATCACTACAAAATTTAGTCCCCCTTAAAAATGGATTTCCATTGCCAAAGGTGATGACTGACTACACATATCTGCTATCCATGAACATTGTATGGTCAGCAAAACATTAGAAAAAGAGGGTTTTAAAGTTTGTCATCAAAGGTCAATGTAATGAATGACAGCACAAGGAGAAGCTCCACGAGACAGTCTTTCTTTATGTAGCCCTGGCTGTGTCTGGAACTCACTCTGTAGACCAGGTAACCAGGTGTGTGCCACCACTACCGGGCATTGGTTATGTGTTTTTAAGAAACAAGTATGGTTTTTGTTTTTTACTATTCATTAAATTTGTTCTTTGACAATTTCATACTTTTTTTTTTGGAGATAGGGTCGCTACGTTAGCCCTGGATGGCCTCAAATTCACAGAGATCTGCCTGTCTCTTAGATGTGGGGAGTAAAGGTGTGGAGCACCACATTCGCCACAGTTTTTTATGTAGTATGTGCGTGCATTTGTGCTACAGCTTCTTATTAGCCTCCTAGAGAGGGAGAAAACAGGGCCAATGTTTGGCACAGCCAAGGAGGTTTCATGTCACCTCTGGGTAGCAGTGTGGGAGAGCCATGCTAGTTGGAGTTACTGTGCGCTTGGGTTTTATTTGTAATGTGAGTGGCCAAGACTTTGTTCTTCTAAGAAAATGTGTGCTGTCTGACTTTGAAATTAGGAAGCATTTTATCTCGCTTTTAGATAAATAGAGCTGCTTTTAATAAATTACATTTATTGGATGCTTATGGGCTGTGTCTGCTTTGTTTTCCTCTCACCATCTTCTTGTGCAGTCTGCAGGCCCTATTAAAGTTACAGTTTTAATTGGTTGCATTTCATATTTCAAAGCAAGACTTTCCTTTGGATACTATATTATAATAGGTAGGAGCTTTGGGACTGGAATGAGAGCAGACTCCTAGCCTTACATCGGAGAGCTTAAGGATGTTGGGAAGTAAGGATGTTGGGAAGCTATCCTAGTTGAGTTGGCTATTTTTGTGAAAAGATTTCTTTTATTCTTTTACAATTATATGTAGGTGTGCATGTCTGCATATGGGTACACACAAATGAGTGGAGGTTCCCTCAGAGGGCAGAGCCATTGGTTCCCAGGAGCTGGGGTGATAGACAGTTGTGAGCTTAATGTGGGTGCTGGAAATGAACTCTGGTCCTCTGGAAGAGCAGCAAGTGCTCTTAACTTTTGAGCCAGCTTTGTAGTCCAGAGTTGACAGCCCTTCCATTGTTGTTACGGATATCCAGTTGGTTAGGTTTTTGGTGATATTGAGGATTCAGTGCAGGCTCTCACCCATGCTAGGCAATAGTCCAGTTTAATTTTCCATGGATTTTTCTTAAATGCATTTACAGCTTCTGCCTATTTGCCAAACCTCAGGGTAGCATATTCTATAGGTTTTCTTGGAGATTATTATTACAAGAGTTGGTTAATGAGCAGTGTTAATAAGCACTGTTAAACTCTCCTAAGTCCAAGTTTGTTCCTTTTTTGTCTTTCCAGAGTGTGGTTCATTTTAGGCTGATGTAGGTTGAGGGAACATATCTGCTATGGATGAAGAGCTGCTCAGCATTCCTGAGCAGTACCTAAGTCTGGGTTTGGGGATCCCAGGTGCAGGCTACAGCTGAGGATGATAATGAACACACCTGTAGGAGCAGGTGTGTCCAGTGTCGCCATAAGAGACTCAAGAAGTAATGACCTTTAGGCACTGTAAATAAGTGGGTCATTACACAGTTTAACAGTTCTTTTTCAGGTAAGGGATGAGCAAGGTGTGGTGGCTCACACTTGTAGTCCTAGCATTTGAGAGGCTGAAGCAGAGGAATGACTGCAACTTCCAGCCATAGAGTTATTATAGAGGAAGACTCTCTAAAACCCCCCCCCCCAAAAAAAAAAAACCCTTCAAAACCAAGAGTGAAACAAGCAAACAAAACACAAGGAAGAGGAATGAAGAGTAGAGGTGGAAGTCTGCCTCCCAGGAGAATTCTGTAAAGCCTCTTAGGAGCCACCAGCCATTCACGAATGGCCTTTTGAGGCTGGCACATCTGGTGTTTCCAAGTGTTTTCTCTCTACTGTTACAGCTCTCCCCTCTCCTACATAGTCAGCAACATGATGCTGGGTGTGGTGGCTCAGTATTTAATCCCAGTGCTTGGGAAGCAACCACAAATTCTAGATTAGCCTGGGCTACATAGTGAGATCCCACCCTACAACCCCCCAAAATGAAATGGGATAAAATTAACATTGTTTGAAAATTTTGTGGTTCTACTTACTCAAGAATTTCCTCAAACCAAAGTGTAAATTATGATACTATCTACATAAAATGTCAAAAAATACTGTTGCTTATGCCACGTCCCCCAAATTTAATACTTCTAGTCAAAAGTAGAGAAATTGAATTTCCTTATAATTATAAAAACAGGGTTTCTATGTAGCTTTGGAGCCTGTCCTGGAACTCACAGAGATCCGCCTGCCTCTTCGTGCATGTGGTGTCTGTCCCCATCCCTGGGCCCTGCCCCCCATGCTAGGACTAAAGGCCTGAGCTACCACAGCTCCACCAATTTGTGCACATTTTAATGTGTCATACATAGCATTCTCAGGATACCATTTTTGCTTTCTCTCTCTCTTTTTTTTCTAAGCACCTTAAGGGACATAGGAGTAGTCAGTGACTTTTAAATGACATGAGAATGTGTTGCTTGAAGTATAGACTAAAGTCACTTAAATAAAATCTGTAATGTAATTATGAAATGTAAATTTTCCACCTTACAATAGAAGTTAGACATCCTTCTACATACTAATTTTTTCTTTCTTTTTCTTTTCTCTTGGCTTTTGACACAGGGTTTCTCTGTGTTCCTGACTGTACTGGAACTCACTCTGTAGATCAGGCTAGCCTCAAACCCACAGAGATTTGCCTGACTTTCTATCTCCCCAATGCTGAGATTAAGGACGTATGCTACCATGCCTGATTCAATTCATTTAAAAATGCAGTTGTGTGTGTGTGTGTGTGTGTGTGTGTGTGTGTGTGTGTGTATCATGTGTTTTGTACCTATGGGTGTCAGAAGATGGTGTCAGCTCTCATGGAGCCTGTTGGTTGTGAGCCATCTGTCATGGGCGCTGGAAGTCAAACTCTTGTCCTGAAAAGAACAGTAAGTGTTCTTAATTGCTGAACCATCTCTCCAGCCCCTAGAGTAGTTTGAAGTATAATTTTAATGGGCAGTTCATCTTTACTGCTGTGATAATTGTACTTATGTTGCTGTCTGAGAAATAGCAACACTCTTAGAAAAATGCTTTCACAAGGATCAAAAGGTAGAAATTAGTGCCCTTATATATTTTTATTAAGATAATAGGATAAAAAAACCCCAAAACAAACAATAAGGTATTAAGATACTTGCTACTGTTGTGAAATTTCTTTGTGAGTGACTGCATGTGTGCTTATAATGCATATTTGCATATAAGGTTACAACACAAGAGCTTGGGGTGTAGTTCAGTGGTGGAATATGTTGGGCTTTGTGTTTGATGTCTAGTACCACAAAATAATCAATAAATAAACTTGCCAAACTACTAACTGAATGGAGGTTGCAGTCACATCTGTTCTAATTCAGAGACAGCTTGACGTGACTTCCCCTGAGCTCTGTCTGAAGTAGGAAAGTCTTTCTATTATATCAAAACTGAACCGTTTTGATATAGTGAGTTGGACAACTTCTGCCTGTTGGCTAAGTTTTGCTTTTCTGGGCAGGCACACTCCACCCAGTAAGTCTCAGGTAGTGCACTGTGAGCTTCTTGTGGCTCTCATCTTTGCTGGTCTGTGTTACATCTCTTTTAAAGATGCAGAACCTTACATTCCTGGTTTCGACATTGTGCCCTGATTACAGTATAATTTTGCTGAGTTATACATGACCTTTTGGGAAGTGGCGTTCACACAACTTCCTATCACATGTTCCAAGGAGTTGGCAGTGTTGTACATCCGTGTCTTCTAACAGATTGCTGCTCGTAGCAAGGTGATGTTCAGACAGCTTCCCTGTGCTTTGCCACACAAGCAAAAATTGAGACTTTCAGGACTTTGGGTCCTCTCTTTTTCTTATGGGGCAGGTTCTGGCAGGATGAGGAGGAAAGTTACTGTTAACCATCACTTGGTACAAGGAATTGATCAGTGTCTCCTGCAGGTCAGGCATCTCTTGACTCAAGTTCTGAATATTAACCCCAAAATAACTATTGGTGGCATGACCTAGCCTAATGTATAAAAAGGTGTTCTTACATGGATTCCTAACAATGCTATTTTTTTTTTTTAAATGGCCAAAAATATATCAGACATGGGGAAAGTACGCTCTCAATGAGTTTTGTGTTTTATTTTAAGAATTTTAGCTCTAGTATATGAAATTCTTTTACAAAAATAAGTACTTATTTATTCACTTGAGAATTTAATGCCGTTTTCCTTTGTAAATGTGTTTCTTGTTTTCCTTTAGATCTTGAATACCTGATGCATGCAAAACAGCAGCTGGTAACCACAGCCAAGCGCTGGGATTCTTCTTCTAAGACTATTGTAGATTTTGAACCTAATGAAACTACTGATTTGGAGAAGAGCCTTCTGATCAGATACCAAATTCCTCTTTCTGCTGACCAGCTGTTTACACAGTCTGTTTTAGACAAATCATTGACCAAGGCTAACTATCAGTCACGGTTGCACGACCTGCTTTATATTGAGGAGATAGCCCAGTATAAAGAAGTTAGCAAGTAAGTTCTTTGAGAACCTCCTCCCTCCCCTCCACTCCTCCCTGCCCTCCTTCTCTTCCCCTCCCCTCCACTCCTCTTCTCCTTTGTCTCCCTTTAGAGACATTTTTAATTTTACAATGGAGACATGCTTAAGTGAAGATGGGTATTAAAATAATTGTTCTTCACTAGCTATATTTTTTATTTAACTAATTAACTACTTTAGAAACGGGGTCTTATTATGAAGTCCTGGCTGACCTAGATATGTAGGCCAGGGTGGACTTGAACTTCTGCCTCTTGACTGTCAGGATTATAGGTGTTAACCAGCATCCTTGGCACTCTGTGTTCTATCTTTAATGGAAGTGCTATTAAGAATTGTGTTTAGGAATCTGGCATTGGTGGCTCATGCCTTTAATCCCAGCACTGGGGACTCAGAGGCAGGCATATCTCTGTGAATTCAAGGCCAGCCTGATCTACAGAGCTAGTTCCAGGACAGCCAGGGATCCACAGGAAAACCCTGTTGCAACAAATAAAAAAAATCAAAGAATTGCGTTTATTTAGTACATGGCTCTTTCTCACAAGACCTTACTGAATGTCTGCTCTGGGGCCATTTGTGCACACTTTTGGAGAATGAAACCAGCCCCGCTCTTGAGACATTTTACAGTGAGTTCAGGCTGTAGCAAGCACTTAAGGAATATTCGTTCAATAAATGTACAAAAATGGAAGTAAGCCACATATTTCGAAAGTTCTTTGAAGAATGAAATGATTTAGATAGAGGGAAAATAGTTTGAATTGGTTTTATAGCAATTTATAAGTGTTTTCTACAGTCAAGAGCTAAAAGCAAAAGATTATTTGGTTAATGTAAGAAGAATAGTCTTAAATGAAAGTGTGAGTGAGTGAAACTATTAAAAAGGTTGTTATTTTGGATAACAACCTTATTTTGGAGTCCAAGACAGTCTGATCGCTGGGGAGGGGTCGGAGGGGGTGGGGGGTGGGTTGGGGGTGGAGGTGGGTTGGGTTGGGTGGTGAACATGGGAGGATGGGAGGGCAGGGGAATGGGGGATGGATATGTAAATATGAGTAATTAAAAATAATAATAATAGAGAATAATAATAATAAAAAAACCTGGAAACTGAAGGGGAAAAAAAAGGTTGCTATTTTGAAAGTAGTTTTTAACTGGTTAGGTAAAATAAGATGAATCTTCAAAATTGAACTCAATGAGACATGATTATATTTTTATAACTGTTTCTCCCTTTAGATATAGTCTAGCCAATATGTTTTTTTCCTGCAAGTTGTCTTATCATTAATAATAGATGCAGGATACTCATTAGGGGCATATCCAAAAAACAGAGCAAGTGAAAACGTAAAAGTACATTGTGCCACTCTATTTGTTGGTTACATGTGATAGAAAAAGTCTCATATTAAATGTGCCAGGTCAGTACATTTTGTTTTCATTATTCTGGGACTACACCTTGGCCCTTTTTGGTGTGTAGCATAGGCTGGCCTTGAGCTTGTCAACCTTCCCCCTTTCCTCCTGAGTGCTCATATTTCAAGTATGTGCTGGGCCATTCTGTTGTTACCTGTCAGGTGCCGCGCGTGCCTCTGTGTGTGTGTGTGTGTGTGTGTGTGTGTGTGTATGTGTGTGTGTGTGTGATGCTCCAGGGCAATCTTCAGGATTTGGATCTCTCTCTTCACCTTGTTTATGAGACAGGGTTTCTTTTGTTTTGCTGCTGCACAGTTTCCTCTGGTCAGAATAGATTCGAGACAGAAAGCCATGTTCAAAGTTGAATATAGTGATCCAGGTTGACAGTGTTGAGTTGCAAAGGACTTCACCAGTAGTAGGAGCCAGGGCTTTGTGATAGTGTGGTGAGAGGAGTGGCAGCTGGTGAGACAGACAGTTGATGTACTCAGCTTCTGGCTTGGAGACCTAACTGAATGGGGGAGCCTTTTTGCATAATTCCTGGAAACACTGATTTGGAGCAATGGTGGAGGGGTCAGAGGTTAATTGGTGTTCCACATCTGGGCACAGAGAATACAGGAACAAAGGTGTCCTTAGAGAGTAAGATGAGGGGCGCACTGGGACTTTGAGAAGGCGGCTGATTTCAGATGGAAATGGAGGTAGTTAGACAGGTAGCAGACAGTCCCTGTAGGGTGTGGCTCTACAGAAGCCCGTGGATGATGGAGTTTAAAGAGGAGAGTGACTGCAAGGTAGAAGGGAGACAATGTGAAGCCTGAACATGACCTTTAGCAATGGAGAGGTCTTGTCAGGCAGCCATGTGTTAGAGGCAGTCTCTTCCAACCTAAGTGAGTTTTAGTGACCTAGCCCTTCTCATGATATGAAGCTCTCTCTAAAGACACAGGACACAAGGGCTGGACAGAGGCTGTCAAATGGGCAGTTTTACTTCACTTTCATGTTAATGGTTAGATTCTTTTGGTAAGATTTACCTGGTAAACCCTCGGCTGAAAGTCCACTGAAGTTTGCCTTTCTTCCTAGCCTAGGTGGTTTTAAAGTCTTAATTCTCTCAACCATGTTTCCTATTAGTCAACATATTTCACTTTATTAAACATCACCTGTCATTTATTTAGATTTACAAGAATTATTTATTTGTGCGTGTGCATGTGCGTGTGTGTCTGAGTCTGAAAGATTCACATTTTGGGGTCAGAGGACAAACTTTTAGGAGTCAGTTTATTACTTCCATGGGTTCTGGAATCGAACTCAGGTTACCATAGTTGGCAGCAGGCGCCTTTACCCACTGAGCCCACTCAGGGGCCACACTTAGTCATTTAAAAAAAATCCATATTCTTTAGCACAACTAAGTATGCTTGTGTAACTTGAATTCAGCTTGGATTTAGGGGAGAAAAATTATAGTATGTAGAGTTGGTAATTCAGTACAATAGAATTGATACATTTCCATATATTTATGTCTGAATAAAAAATTCAAATATATTGTATTTTTCCAGGTCTTATGGTTTTGATGAGAAATACTCAAACTAGTTTTCTCCTTTTGATTTAGGTTCAACCTTAAAGTGCAATTGCAGATTTTAGCAAGCTTCATGCTCACTGGAGTTTCTGGGGGTGCAAAGTATGCTCAGAATGGACAACTTTTCGGTCGTTTTAAGCTCACTGAAACCCTTTCTGAAGATACTTTGGCTGGACGACTGGTGATGACCAAAGTCAATGCTGTTTATTTATTGCCAGTCCCTAAAGAGAAGCTAGTACAGACCCAGGGAACCAAAGAGAAGGTTTATGAAGCTACTATTGAAGAAAAAACAAAAGATTATATATTTTTAAGGATATCCAGGGAATGCTGTGAAGAGCTTAATCTTCGGCCTGACTGTGACGCACAGGTATGTTTGCAGGCAGTGCCTTCCTCAGAGTGTGTTCACCCCAGTGTTAGCCGCTGCCTCTGGCTGCTGCCTGTTCTCCCTCCACCCAACCAGCAGTGCACTTGACGTGGAAGTCTTACCTGGGTGGTTAGAATTCCACTCTGGCCGCCCTTTGAATGTAAGGAGCATGTTGTATGTTTCTGTCGCACAAAGCTTCTTGATTAGACATTGGCATCAGCAAAGGAAGAGCAGATTTGTTTTGGGAGCTGCTACATCCAGGGCCATGGGATCAACACCATGTCTGCTTCCCTTCTGTTTGCATTAATGGTGTTTAGGTGAAGCCTGTGCTCAGTTTGCCATGTTTAACTGGAAAGCTATCCTGTCTTCTTAAATATTAAACTTAGTGGACCATGATTCCTAGTCAGTCTGTACCGGGTTATAAGGCTGATTTTCACTCAACATGTGATGCTACATACTTGTTCTTCAAAAGTGTTCTTCATGGACGTGGTGGACTCAGATACTCTTATCTAACATTTATAAGGTTTTAGTTCTTACTGTGTAAAATGAGGTCAGTAATAGCATGTATACTGTGTCAGTATGATCACATGAGGTCATCCATGGCAGCTGCTTGTTACAGTACCTAACAAGCACAGCCAGTGTTTTCTACACCAAGTATTGTTAGGATATGATCGTAGTTTGAAAGAAACTAACTTGTCCTGCAAGCTGTTGTCTCCTTGAGGTATTTTTGTGTACTGCCAATATCGATGTTGCTGTAAAAGCTGTTTTACAAATGTTCATTTTGTGTTTCAGGTTGAGCTTCAGTTTCAATTGAATCGATTACCCCTCTGTGAAATGCATTATGCACTAGACAGGATTAAGGACAATGGTGTTTTGTTTCCAGACACCAGTATGACTCCTACCATACCTTGGAGTCCTAACAGGTATGAAAAGAGATTTCTTAGAAAAAGAAGCTTGTTAATATTAAATTGAATGCCTGTATTCAAGCATACTTCTTTGGTGCTCCCCCCCCCTTTTTTATTTAAAACAGCATCTCACACTGTAGCCAGGCTGGACTGGATCTTATTATGTAGTTCAAGCTGACCTTTAACTTGTAGCAGTCCTCCTGCCTCAGCCTCTCCAGTGCTGGGGTTGCAGGTGCAAGCCAGTACACTCAGCTCAAATTTTGTTAGAAAATTTGTCTGTGTTCATCAGGAGATGAATGAAACATTTGGCATTCAGACTGTAAATTAGATCTATGGCTTCTCTCAGTCCTGCAGTTTCTCTCAGTGGTCTCAGTTTGATAGAATACTGAGCAGCTTAGGGATTTTTCCAAACGGAATTCTAACATGGTAACCATGACCTTTCAGCAGTGGTTCAAATCTATACAACAACTTTGGGACGTAGATGATGTTGTGATTTAACAAAGTGGAGGGGGAGGATATTTCTTCAGAAACTGCTGTCAAGTTAGGGGCTGTACAGGTAATGATCTACTTAACTGTCACCCCCACCTGCAGTTAAATAAAGTACTGCTGGTTTGTCCCAAGAATATACAATTTTGCGAGTATTCGTTCATCTTTGTCACTGATTACTGTCCCATTAAGTCCTGCCTTCCTAGCTCACTTGACCTTAAAAAAGTATCTAAGTGGCTTTACACAATAAAGACAAGGTTGGGTGCCTACCTGGCAGAGGTGGCCCTGTTTCCTACTGATGGATGTTCTGGCATCTTTAGTGATTGATTTCCAAGGGCCCCTGCATGTTGACAAGTACAGAGTGAACACAGAGGACCAGGTGGTACATCTTTACGGATTAGGCCTAGAAGTTGCACATACAAGTCTACTCAACGTTCCGTTGCTTCTGCTCCTAAAAACAGAATAAAACACAAGTACAAGCTTGCCATTACTGCCTTTCCCCACTTGTTTTTATTGCCAAGTTTCTCAACAGGCACTAGTCTGCATGTCTCCAGCATTCTTCATTTATTGTGTCTTTGCAGCTCTCTGTCCTGAAAGTCTGCTTCTAAGAACCCGGGGACATCCCAGCTCTCATTTGGCTGAGCTTCTTTGCACACATCTCTTTCTTTGTATTCTTGTATCTGGTACTTAAGTTAGGCCTGAGCTATTACTGTGGCATTCTGTTGAACTTCCATCCTGCTGTCTGTATCTCTGTTGTCTGGTCCTACCCAAATACTTCTTCCAAAGTTAGTTTTTTAAACCAACCATGGCATTTCATCATGTGCAGATCTCTGGATACAGTCTGAGAGCCCGACTCTGAGCTCTGTCCTAGGTTCTCACTGACTCCCTCCCAGGGCTGTCTCTTGTTGTCTCAGCCCCCAGGCTCTAGCTGCCTTGACATTTATTTGTGCCTTCCTGTACTTATTTGCCTCCTTATGTTTTTTGTTATTCCTGTAGAAATATTACAAATACTGTGTCTTCATTGTGTGTCTATCACTTGTCTCTTCTCACCTTTGCATGGTTTCCTCTGCTAAACAGTTTCTGACCAGGGGCAGCCTTCTGAAGACCCCCGTTTGGTCATTTTGAGTCACATGCAGCTTAAGCGTTCACTCTTCTGTGGCAGTTCTGTGCTTTCCAGCATGGTCTCTCTAAATTCATTTTCATCAGTTGTGTGCAGTTCAACTTTTTCCTGGACTCTGAGCTTTGTAAAGTATGAGACCATGTCTTATTTATTTTGAATCAAGAGAGTCTTATACGTTGAAGTTAATATTAATTTCAAGTCTAAATTAGAGGAAGTTTCGGCTCGGATGTGAGGGACCCTAATGAAGTTTGGCATCCTGACTTGATTTGCTCACTGTGTCCAACAGTACTGACAGTTAACTGCAGAAGTGCCAAGAAGCCATTGTGCAGCATGCTTTTAAGCAGGACCAGGCTTGCCATGGCCGTAGGGACAGTAGTGGAAGGCCCTGTGACTAGGACCTGAGAAGCCAGTAGCCATCCAAACTCTTGTGGAATCCCAGGGAGTGTAGATAGACGGTGAAGCTGAGAAGTCCTTCTTGAGCATGTAGCCTCTAAACTAACTGCAGGAATGCATTGGGCCAGAGAAGAAATGGCTTTGAGTTAACTTAGTGTTGGGAATAAAAGGATTTTTATTCCATTTTTTTTTTTTTTCCCTGAGACTAAGCTCAGAGAGATTCCATTCTCAACTATGGAAGCAGTGCTTTGCAGCATCCATGTTTAGGTCACTCTTTTACTGAGCAGTGGTACAATAACGATAGTTGCTTTCAGGTTTTGGTTTTCTTTAGATATTCATTATTCATTACCAGAAATTACAGAGATGACTGGCATCGATAAAGTTTCAGATCTGCTCTGGAAACAGTTGATAAACAGAATGAGTTCCATATTGAAGGAAAGATATGGACTAATTTACAGAATTGTTTCTTAGCTTTGAAGTTAATTTATGGAGTCTTATTATCTACAGCATTCTGTAACTCATGCTGATGGGAATGAGTACTATGTGTTGTTTTGTTTTTTAATGTATATTATTCATGTAATGTCGTTTCCTAAAATTATCAGAAAATAGAGAACTAGAAACTAAGGTGGACTGAACTTTTGTGGCTCAATTATTTTTCCAAACAGCTTTAGATGAGTGTTTTAGTTCATGTAAACATATGCACGGTCTCATTGGCTTTAAGACAGCTGTCTATTGCCAAGTCATACGTCTGTAGACAGATGAAGGGGTATGAAAGGCAGGGGATCTTGTAACTGCAGTGCCATATGTGGGTGTATGAAATAGTTTTCTGAGCTGACCTGCTGTTGTGCCCAGAGGCAGGTAGCCAGGATCAGGGCAGAGGCCATCAATGCAGTCACAGACTTTCCTCCTGGCCTAGAACAACATGTTGGGATTTTTTGTTTGCTGTTGTTTTCTGATGCTTGTTGTTTGTTGGTTATGTGATGGCCACTTGGGATTTATTGCCACATGCTCTTTGCAGCTAGAGGAGCACCAACATGAGAAGGGCTTTATTGACTTAAAAAAAAACCCAAACTAGTGAGCATTGCTTTTGTTGTTATTGTTTTAATATCCATAGAAGCTGGTTTGAGAGACTTCTTCCCACATCAGATTGGCCAGAGTTGGGTCTCCAGCAAGCTAGGCTCAGGAGAGCATGAAGGCAAAGGAAAGGGGTGCTGGGGATGATTTGGGGGTAACCATGCTGATGTCTGCCTCAGTTGGGTCTGGGCATGGTGGTCACCTAGAGAAATAGAAGATGTAGTGTTGCTAGGCACTGGAAGAGCTGAGTGCAGAAGCTGGCTGTTGAAGAGGGACTCTGAAGTAAGATGCTCTGTGTAGTCCATGCCACAGAGTCCTTTTATCCTTCTACTGTTAACAAAGTCAAATTCAGAAAAATAAATAAGTAGTGGCATGTTTTATTTTCCAAGTTGATTTTCTAAGATTTTATATCAAATTAAAGAATCTCCTTGGTTTGAGTTTAGTACAGTGGACCAGTTGCAGTTCTTAAGCATCTCAGACTGTTAGGCCAGTATGCATATGTGAGAAGTCTAAGTGCAGTTCAGCTTTCCTCACTGAGACGGACTTTTGCTCTCAAGTCTGTTCTCCTGTCTGGGTCATTCTGAACATACTTGGCAGTCTGCAGGACTGTCTTCACACACCCTTCCTGTTTTGGTTTACATTGTCATTACTTTACTTTAGTCGGTGCAGTCTTTGGCATTTGGAGTTGTGAGGAAGAATACTGTTGGTTATTTAGTTTCATCTGTCTCAGCATCTGGTGTCCATTGTAAGCTTCAAATCTTAACCATGTCTCGGGATGGGCACTCGCCGGATCGATCGAGTTACACACGCCATGTGCCACTGCAACAGGTGTTCTTCACTCGGGATGATAGGAGCTAAGTGGATGGTTTGGGCGTGAAAATACTGGAAAATAAAACCCTTTAAGAAAAAACCTGCTACTTAATCAAGATTTTTATCAATCTGCTACTTAATCAGCTTTGATATCTCTTAACCAGGGGAATGCAGATTTTTTTCCACTTTCTTTTTTTTTTTCTCTCGAGACAGGGTTTCCCCGTGGCTTTGGAGGCTGTCCTGGAACTAGCTTTTGTGGACCAGGCTGGCCTTGAACTCACAGAGATCCGCCTGCCTCTGCCTCCCGAGTGCTGGAATTAAAGGTGTGCGCCACCAACACGCCCGGCTTTTTCCACTTTCTTTGTGTTCTAAATTTGTCTGGAGACCTTTCAATAGGTCAGCAGTAGAAATTTAGATAGTTGGTTTTTTGCATTCGATTTGCTGGGAAGGAAATGGCAGCTTCCTCATTATGCATAGGAAACAGTTTTCTGCATTTTGAAATATTGCCGGCAGATAGACTCCAAGTGTTTGATTTCTTTATATTAGTATCTAACACAGGTTAGTTTTGATTCATGGCAGAATACCTTACATTGCCTTTCTTGAGTAATCTGGAGAGGTTTTGGAGTTTGTGTTGGTTATTGTAGATTCTGTGCTGCTTGGGTAGATGTAGTATCAGCAAAAACTGACAATACTCATGTGCATGTTTAAAATAGCACGCTTGAATTTTCTACAGACAATGGGATGAGCAGTTGGATCCTCGACTAAATGCAAAACAGAAAGAAGCTGTTCTGGCCATCACCACTCCACTCTCCATCCAGCTGCCACCCGTTCTCATCATCGGACCCTATGGGACAGGCAAAACCTTCACTCTGGCTCAGGCCGTCAAGCACATCCTGCAGCAGCAGGAGACTAGGTGAGCCGGAGGAGGCGAGCCCATCTCCTTAGCCAGGCACAGCCTCTCTTCTTGTTTTAGAGATAGGATGAAGGCCAGCTAGACAGTTTATTCGGGTCTTAATCCTTAAAGGAACAGTAAGACCTCAGAGCAGTGAAGTTTGTATTCTCTTAGAATATGCTGTTTTAGAAGCTGGCGGTGTAGTCAATGATAGTCTGTACCATAGCCGTCTGCTAAGGGATGGGATATGTTAGAACTCAAAGAGCTGGGTTTAAAGTGTTTATTGCAAAGTAATTTAAAAATTACTTTGGGGAACTCCTCTTTAGCTTAGAGTAGCACACTCTCCTAATGGCATCTGGGTCCCGGTGAGGAGTTTGCACAGGGTGAGGGGAATGGACTAGAAGACGGCCACTGCTCTCTTGGTATTATATACTGCTTGACTAGCTTCGTGTTGTGTCATTCTTTTTATTTGCACCATTTATTTCAGCAGGATTCTCATTTGCACCCATTCTAATAGTGCTGCTGACCTCTACATAAAGGATTATTTACATCCATATGTAGAAGCAGGCAATCCCCAGGCAAGACCTCTCAGGTATTTTTAAGGCTTATTTTGTATCTGTATCGTTCTTTGTTATTCTTAAGAAAAGGTGTCTGTAAAGATTTTAGAGGCTTTGGAAACACCTAAAGCATTAACTGTGCATTGGCATTTGGAGGTTATGTCATTGAAAGAAAGCCTTGAATTAAGGCAAAATGTAAAAATTGTTGACCATTTCTGAAACATTATGTATAAAGAAAGACATCCTTTTTTAAGTTTCTCATGTAAAACTATTGTTACAGTCGGAGTAGAAGTGATTAGCTTAAATAAAATTGAGTTTGATCAAAATTCTTAGCACGGTTTGCACAGCAGAGTAGTCATGCAGTGACAGCTCTTGACCAGAGTCGTTTTTGCTGTGGTCATTTACTGCATGTTAGAGAAGCACGAGGCACTAAAATGATGTGTCCGTCACACTTCTGCAGTACTGTGATGATGTATTCGGGACTTCTTGCTGTCATGTTGGAGACACAGTGTCAAAGGTCCAGTGATTATATATGGACTTAAAATATACTTAAATATACATTGTGGGAGAATAAAAATCCTTTTCTTCAGAAAACAATTAAAGAATCATAAATAGTTGTTTATTATACCATTTGCTTTTGTTATATGAATTAATACTTAGTTATGCCATTTTGCAAACTAATATGTCATGGCACAGGTTGTTCAAATGATTATTAATTATTGCTTAAAATTAATTTCTAACCACACTTTCATCCATAATGTATTAAGCTCTAATTTCTAGTTGAGTCCAGGCATGGAAACATGAAGTTATGCTATTTAATTCTTTAATTCCCATCACCAAAACCCTTTGAAAGAACAGTGGTGTGGCTTGCTAACATGCCTTTGCAGTGGAATCCAGTTATGTGTAATAATGAATTACTGACTGCTCATTCCCTAAGTGAAGATGAGGGTGTTTACTGAAGGATGCTTTCACAGCTAGGTGGCAGATTTGAACCTCTGACCTCACAGTGAAAGTGGAGAAGCTAACATTTTACTCCGAGTGCTCTCACTCTAAGAAGAGTTGATTGTTTTATTTACTTGTAGTGGTGGTGTTTGTGTGTGTGTGTGTGTGTGTGTGTGTGTGTGTGTGTGTTGCATAGAAAATGTGACAATTTGAATATCATGATGTTCTTGGTTTAGAAACAGTTGAGTGAAGCCAGTGGTGGCAGCACACACCTTTAATTCCAGCACTCAGGAGGCAGTGGATCTCTTGAGTTTGAAGCCAGCCTGGTCTACAGAGCGAGTACCAGAACAGCCAAAACTACACAGAGAAACCCTGTCTCCAAAAAACCAAACCAAACAAAAACAAAACAGTTGAGGGAAGGCCTACCCCAGACTTGGTAGATTTAGCATAGGTATTTGCTGTCTGAGATAGTTGGCTCTATCATTTTTCTAGGTTATATAGCCTTTCCATGTGCAATTATTTTGGGCTGGGAGGATCCACCTTGACACGTGTCCCTATGTGTAATAAAAAGTGATTTTCCAGTAGAGTGTAGTCAGAGTGGTCCAAATGTAGAAGCTTGTCCAATAGCAGAGATCTCACTTTTTCTTAGCTCTCAGAGTTGTTGAGTCCAAGATGGAAAAAAAATTTCATCTAGTAAACAGAATAAAATGGAAAACCACTTAGCTTCCTTGAGTGTTTGCTTTTTACAACTCCCTACATACTTACTGTAGCTTTCCTCTCTAGGAAAGGTGCTAACTTGCAGCTGTAGCCTAAGATGATTTGTGTCTTTAGTTGATACTTTTCCTACTGAAAAATAACCATGATAGATTTGGGAGATAGGCTTAGAATGACTAACTGCTCTAGGAAGATGAGCTTCTCTGAGGGTTTTGCTTCTTCTTTGGTTAGTGCTGGGATGGAACCTCCCAGGCTTGGCCATGCCAAGCAAGTGGCTACCCATTTGCCATACCCCTAGCCAAAGGAAATATCAACATTACTAGAGTTGTTCTGGAATTCGAGAGATGAACACAAGAGGGCACCAAATGTCTACAGAGAAGAAAGCTGTTAGGAAGGCAGGCTGGTGTAAGTTGGCTGCTTCTCAGGCCTGTGGTGTGGACTTGGCCCTGGGAAATAGAATAGTTAGTGAGTAAATGTAGTCGTAAGTATGGATAAACACACATAATTAGGATTAGACTCCATGAAATTTCTTCTAGTTGCTAACAGAATCTAAAGTATTTGGAGTTTTTTTTTTTTTTTTTTCTTTCTTCGAGACAGGGTTTCTCTGTGTAGCTTTGGAGCCTATCCTGGCACTCGCTCTGGAGACCAGGCTGGCCTCGAACTCACAGAGATCCGCCCGCCTCTGCCTCCTGAGTGCTGGGATTAAAGGCGTGTGCCACCAACGCCCGGCTAAGTATTTGGAGTTCTTAGACAACATTTTAGATTACATTGATGGATAAACAAATAAACAAATGAATAGAATTTAGGGATTAAAGAAAAAGGAATATAGAAAGCTGGATGGGGAGTGGCACATGGCTGTAATCCGGGTACTTGTGAAGTGGAAGCTGGTGGATTATTGCAGATTTGAGGTCAGCCTTGTCTATATCAGGAGTCTTTGAGAGCTACGTAAGGAGATTTTGTCTCAGAGTTACAAAACAAACAAATAAAAACAAAAGCAAGGAAGAGAAGTACCAGGAAAGCAGTTTCTTTTTGCATGTGGGTCTAAGGATACGTTTCTGACCCTGGCAATGTCAGAGTGGAGTGGGACAGTCATCTGGAGGAAGTGTACTTGTTGCTGTCCAGGCAAGTTGAAGGCAGCTATCATTTTGGGTAGTCTTTAAAGAAACTCCTTCCTTCCTTCCTTCCTTCCTTCCTTCCTTCCTTCCTTCCTTTTAGAGGAATCATCAGTTTTTGACAATTCCTGTTGTGAGTAGGATTTCAGTGTACAGCTAGGTTGTACACTATAGACCAGGCTGTCCTGGAACTCACAGATATCCTCCTGCCCCTGCCTTTTGAGTGCTGGGATTAAAGGTGCATGCCACTGCCACCTGACTAGTAGTGACATTTTTAGTTGCTTATTTCATATGAATTTATTACATCTACAAGACTTCAGTGAATTAAAATTATATATACCAGACTATCTTCTGTTTTAAGGATTAATCTGAATCCTATGTAATATATGAATTGGTTTGTTTCTAGGAATACATAAATATTTAATTGCTGTCTCATATATGTTTAGGTATGTTATTTCTTCCCTGTGGTGCTAGGAACCAGGGTCTTGAGGCATTATCCCCGAGCTACATTTATATTCTCTGTGATGTATTTTGGATAATGACCTAAAAAGCATCATTTGCCAATGCTAATACTCTGATTTGAACAATGTTACATTTATTTTATTTCTTTTTCCACCTTTGTAAACACTACTCCTGTTCATCTCGTTTCAAAAGCTAGAGGCAGGTAGCTGTAGTCCAGCACTTGGCAGGAGTGTAGATTATACTCCATCCACAGTGTAGTGAGGTTGAGGCCAGCCCGGATGATCTCGGACTGTTTCAAAAACAAAAATGAGACATAGAATTCTGTTGGCATTGTTTTAGATATTTAATAATATCTAGTGAATCCAATTTGTGTATCTCTACTGCTATCCAAGCCACCATCATTTCATGTCCAGATGCTGGCATTAACCTCCTGACTGCCTATCTGCTGTTTCTGTACCCTGCTTTCATGTCCGCCTCACTCGGGATTGGGTTAGAATCAATGTATGAGCTTATGAGGGCCTGTCATGAGCACATATTTTCCTGGGAGTAGCTTTTTATATCACAGAAGCCAGCTAATGTTGGAGCCCCTACCCCCATCTGCTTGTTAAACATTGAGCAGTACGCCACCCCTTAACTCTCCCCAAGTGGATTCTGCCCAGAGATTAGAGTTGTCATTTAATGACATGAGTCATCACGACTGCCCTGTCCAGTCTCATGGCTTTTCATTAAACTGGGAGTAAAGCCAAAGCCTTTGTGGTTGCTCCCAAGCCCTGTGCCCTCTGCCCCTGTGCTGTATCGTAGTCAGCAGCTGGGAGATCTGTTTCATGTGGGATGGTGGAGGCTGGAAGTTTAGGTTGCATCTGTACATCAATCAGATCAGAGTCATCTGTAGCTGAGGCCTGTTCAGAATTTCCACTGTAGTTATTTGAAAGATGAAATTTCTTAAGATTTGCACTAAAGAGTTTTTGATTATTCAAAAATATAATCTATATTCAGAAGCCTAGGCAGAGGTCTTTTTAAAAATAGTTTTAAGAACTTTTCTAAAGTAAAATTATTGCAAATTGCTCTAAACTAAAAATGTTATAAGCATATAATTTCATGGTTTGTATTAGCATATGTAATTAAAATATGAATTAAGTACATTTTTGTAAGACAATAATTGAAAAAGGTAATTCAAGAATGGAAGGTTTCAAACTTAATTTTTAAAACTAAATTTTATACTAAAATTCTAAACTTACATGGTATGAATAATTATGAGACTTAGTTGTTAAATTTTGGCACAGTGTTTTAATAATCTGCTATTGTGAACCTCCTAACAGGAAGTGTGGTCTTCTCTTGTAGGGTGTATTTCCGAAATCGCTGGGTGAAGACTGTCCACCCAGTTGTGCATCAGTACTGTTTGATCTCAGGCGCACATTCCACCTTTCAGATGCCCCAGAAGGAAGACGTTCTGAAACATCGAGTGGTGGTGGTCACATTGAATACTTCCCAGTACCTCTGCCAGCTGGACCTTGACCCCGGTATGCCCACTCACCACAGGTGGCTGTCTCCCAGGCTTAGAATATGCGCTGCTTTGGGAAGTGCTATCCTGTGGGCCATATCTGGTCAGGTGTCTCTTTTACTGCACAGAGTACAGCTGCCAATACCATTTGTTAACTTGTTTCTTGTCTTCGACTGCTTTTGTGGTGCAAAGCTGAGGAGGGATCTTCAACAGGGACAGGAACTCTTTGGCCCTTGACTGAAAAACATTTGCCAGCCCTCAGTGTAGTCAGCTTCATGACTGCCATTCCGTTTGTGCTCTAGTTAGCCAGGTGGTCTTTTGTTAACTAATGACCACATGAAGAATCCAGATTTGGACTGTGTGTGTGTGTGTGTGTGTGTGTGTGTGTGTGTGTGTGTGTGTGTGTGTGGGTGTGGGTGTGTGTGTCTTTGAGTGGGTGTGGAAGCCAGAAAAGGGTTTCTTCCATCACTCTCTTTTTATTCCTTGGAGACAGAATCTTTCCCTGTTGTCTTGGCTAGACCGAAAGCCTTGCCCGAAAGCCACCAAGCCCGAGTGCTCTTCCTGTGTCCTCTTTGAGGCTGGGGTTATAGGCATCGTGAGATGCCCCACTTGTTATGTGGGTGCTGCAGCCGAGTTCCAGGCTTCATCATTGTGCAGACCTCTTCACTGCTGGGTGCTGGAGCTCTCCAGCTCTGAGATCTTTGTATTTACATGCTGGGACTATGTAAAAATCACTCTTATTTACTTTTTATTTTTGTGTTTTTGAGACAGGGTCTTGCTTTTATTTGTGTTTGTGTTGAACTCAGTATGTAGCCCAGGCTAGCCTTAAACTCACATTCTTCTGCCTCAGCCTTCCAAGTACCAGGCTTCCAGCTCAATCTAATTTTATATGAGCACAGAAATCTAAGATGACAAGTTATGGCGAGTATGGTAGAACTTGACCATGAGGTCATCATATTACTTTATTAGATCATTTAGCAGGGTTCTCATTTGCTCTGCTATAATTGTTGACTTTACCTATTCTGTTCCTGTCTCCTGTTGGAATTGTCTTTAAAGCCATGACAAATCTGAGTCCCTGGGCAATACTTTAACATCTTTAAGATTAAAAGCTCTGTTTATCTGAAATGAAGGAATGGAAGCCAACCTTTTTCTTTTCCTTATTGAGTCTAGTTTTAATTTTAGAAAGGCTTAAGAATTGTTAAGGGAGGTGGCTAACCTGGGATTAGTAGCTAAAATGAGAAGGTCCCCCCATGGGATAAGACTTCCTCTACATGCCTATAGCTCTTAAGTGGCTGCTAGGGCAATCCCAGGGTGTGTTTCAGAGCTGACAGCACAATGGCAGCATCACTGTGAATAAGGCTCTTTGAGAGATTAGTTGGGGAATGTTTACTCAGCCAACCTCCTCCTCACTTGATGCTGAGACCTTGCACACTGATCCTGCAGACAGAGAGTTAGATGCTGTAGCATTGCTTGGTCAGAGGGGGCGTAGCTTGGAAGGGCTGGGCATAGGGTTTCCTCTTTGTAGCCCTGGCTGTCCTGGAACTCACTCTGTACATCAGGTTGGCCTCAAGCTCAGATCTCCCTGCCTCTCCCTTTTCTAGTAGACAACAATTTCAGGATTTATGAAGCTCCTGAAAAAAATGGTAACAAAAGAAAATAGTCACTCTTTTTGATCTTTTCTTTTAAAAAGATTAAAAACATTTATTTTTAGTACTCTGTATATGAGAGAGAGAGAGAGAGAGAGAGAGAGAGAGAGAGAGAGAGAGAAGGTATCAAATATCCCTGGAATTACAAGTAGTTGTGAGCCATCCAACATGGGTTCTGGGAACCAAACTCAGGTCCTCTAGAAGAGCAGTGCATTTGCTTAACTGCTTAGTCATCTCTCCAGCCTCTAACCTTTTGAAAAAAAAAATCATGTCTTAAGCAGATTGTCTAGATAGAGGATGGCCTTAAAGTACTCATGGCTCTAGGATTAAGAATGAAACTCTTTCCCTGGATTGGTGGGAAGCATCCTGCTGTACTGCTGCTATGATGTGTGTTGTTTACACTGTTTTCCAGGGTTTTTTACACATATTCTGTTAGATGAAGCTGCCCAGGCCATGGAGTGTGAGACCATTATGCCTCTAGCCTTAGCAACTAAAAACACACGGATTGTTTTGGCTGGTGATCATATGCAGGTAGGCGGCATCTTAGTCACTGTCTTGCAAGTTACATTTTGATGTTTAATATTCTGTTTTCTAAAATACCAGTTATTACCAGAATAGGGGCTCCTTTCTAGGGCTCCTATCTAACTAGACTTGGCCTCTGTTCTAAAGGTAAGCAGGGGGTAAAACTGGTGATGGGGCAGGAAAGGCGTCTTCTTGTGGCAGCAGTGGGGAGACAGTGGGGTGGGCAGGGGTCGCAGCAGCTGAGGATGTGACAGGTGAACACAAAGGGTGCAGTAGCAGAGTCTGCCGAGGCTTCTGTAATTCCCGACTTCTAACATCTCTCTGTGAAGAGTTAAATTTTTAATATCATGTGAAATAAAGCATACAATTACAATTATAGTCACAGTTTCAAAGAATATGCCAGATTTGCATACTTACATATGAAAAGAGAAGCCGTCCGTCTGTGGCATTGTCTGTCATGCTGTTTGGAGCTTATCCTGCTGCTTCAGTGGGTTGAGGGTCTGCAGAACAGGCTTGAGTCTTCCAGGAAAGGTGCCAGTGTACAGAAGGACTTTTATGCTCGTCTATTGCCTGAAGTAGCTTAAGTGTGACTTTTAGCAGTAAAAGGTGTAGCCTAGAGTGGCTCTTTATACTTAAGGAGATGGAGGAGGCTGGTTGTATTTTTAATTAAAAGAAAAATTTCCTACTATATTTAGCATTTATTTATGGACTTCAGGCTAGTTACATAACCCTTTCTGTAGTTTGTAAAAGTTAATCTAAAAAATATTTATTTTATATGTGTGTGTAGTGGAGTATATCTATGTGCACCATGTGCATGCAATGCCAGTGGTGGTCAGAAGAGGGCGTGGGAATTGAACCTGGTACTCACGGAAAGGGCAGTGAGTGCTTTGAGCCTCTCAGCTGTTTCCCCAGCACCTGTAGCGTAGAGTAGTAGATTTCATTATGGGGAAAAAGTTGTTGATTATTAATGTTAATACTAATATTTTTTCATCATAGTCAAATATCTTATGAGTTAGATTTATTCATTCATTCATTCATTCATTCATTCATTCACTTACTTATCGAGACAAAGCTTTACTGTATATCCCAGGCTAGCCTCAAAACACTTTGACCTCAGTCTCCTAAGTTCTGTGATTCAAGTGTGTGCTACAACATGCAGTCTGAATTTATTATTTTAAAAGTAAACCCTTTAAAACATTATTTATTTATTTAGTGTGTGTGCGTGCCTGTACATACATGTTGTGCATGTGGAGGTCAGAGGATAACTTGCAACAGTCAGTTCTCTCCTCCCACCATGGGGTTCTCAGGACCAAACTCCAGTCATCAAGTTTGAAAGCAAGCACCTTTACCCATTGCTAACTCTCTAGCCCCCATGTTTATTATTTTAAGCAATTGATTGGTTTTGGTGAAGTAACTGATTTGCACTCTTTAAATTGTACAGGAGGGGCTCTGTGTAACTGCAGAAACTCCAGACCCTGTTGTTGCACTACACTTAGTATGAATTTTTCTAGGCCCCCCCCCCCCCCCCCAGACAGGGTTTCTCTGTGTAGCCCTGACTGTCTTGGAACTAGTTCTTATAGACCAGGCTGGCCTTGAATTTACAGAGATCCGCCTACCTCTGCCTTCCGAGTGTG